ATACAGTTATGCACGCACTCTCATGCTATAATATCAAGAATAATCTTCAGCGAGCTGAGGTCAAGTAGTTCAAGCCACATGACTAAGTAAAGGTTGTTATGAGATCTTAATGTGCCACTTCCTGTTTTCCTGAAACTCAGTGGTCAAAATGACATCCAGTGTTCTTAGCAAACCTGCAACTATGTAGACTTTCTTTTCTTTGCTATGTTTTTCCTTATTCTCATTCATTATACATTCTTCATTATGATGATGTTAGATAATCATCAATGAAAATAATCTCTGACACCCTTTTGTCTCTTCTACTGTGAGACCACACAGTGTGAAAGAAAATTAAATTGATACTTTATGTGGCTTTTTATACAACATTTTGTCTTGTTTGATTTGGATTGCTAAAGAAAGTTACCATTATAGCTGTAAGAACATATTGTTATAGATTTTTTCCTTGCATTTTGAAACATGCTCTCCTAGAGTAAACAGAATTGATTTGAAAATATAGGAGTTATGTAATTTTACAAAGCTTGTAGTTTTAAGAAGATCTGTGCTTGAGAACAAAGACTTTTGCATTTCTAAGCACTATCAGTAGTTTTTTCCAGAAGCTACAATGACCTATTCAGTCATGTAGTGTTGTTTTGAGAAGTTCTGGTTAGTATGCATGTCCGTAAAACAGCTTATATTAACTTCTGTTTCAAAGTCCAATGCAAATAAATTATATTGTTTAATAATTAAACTTCATATTTAATATTGTCATTTGTTCAGCATCTTCAATTAAATTTTAACAAATTTTAAATGGTCCTTGATATGTGATTAGCATATCAGGAGACGTAACATTGTTTGCACTGTACTAGAAAAATTTAACATGGGCGAAAATACTAAATATCTTTGTTAACTAAAGAATTACTTGACCAGTTTCAATATTGAACATAGAATGGAAGAATTCTGTGTGGATTCTTTATGAAAACCTGCCTATTTATATTCTCTTTAGCATTTCCCTATTTTTTCCTAATGAATATTTTGCTTTCTGACTGTCTACTTGCCATATTCCAATGGTTAAGGTGTATGAAAAGTATTCAGATGTATTAAGAATTATGTTTAGAATCTTTGTGTTATGAAGCAATGACATATTGATAAGAAGAAAGGTATACATGATGATCCAAGGAATAAACACCTTAATATTGATTTGCAGGAACATATTCTAATCATTTTGAAGCATAAACCCATGAGAGCAAAGTGATGGCAAAAACATGACAAAAAGAAAGACAAAAAGTACCATAGGACTGTAGCATCATAGGAGAGGAACAGTCCTCAAGGCCTCAGCTCTTCTGTGTAGGCATGTAGTCTGATCCATGGTGACCCTTATTGTGTGCTTTGTAGTACTTCTGCTCCAAGTTAAGGGCATTGCTCATAGTCTCAATATCTATGTGGAAGAGCAGCATACAGTAGCAGTAGGTGGACTGGAGGAGTCTTACCTTTCTCAAATTTAAATCCCTGGCAAACAGCATACTTCACAATATTGTGTCAATAGATGGATGCCTCTGTCACTCTGAAAAGGAAATAATTAATTGTAGAACTGCTTGACTTCATGATTTAAGTGTAGCAGCAATCAAGGGCAGAATCATAGAGTGCCCATGACTTTTATAAGGCCTTATTTGCAACAAACCGCAAAAAATTATAAAGTAAGCCACAAAGGAGGAAGGAAGGTTATCAGGAGTTATCCGTATAGGCTGACCAAGGGGAAATCATGCCTGACGAATTTGATAGAGGAGAGCAGTAGTTGTTGTCTAGCGCAACTTCATGGGTATTTATAGAGAATCACAGAATTGTTCTGGTTGGAAAAGACCTTCAAGATCATAAAGTCCAACTCTACGAAGTCCAGTGGTAAACCAGGTCTCTAAGCACCACATTTACATGTCTTCTAAATGTCTTTGGGCAAGGTAATACTACTACCTTCCTGGGTAGCCTGTTCCAGTGTTGCAGATCTTACAATGAAGAAGTTTCCTCCAATATCCATTCCCCTCCCCCGGCACACCTTCTGGCTATCTCCTCTTGTCCTGTCACTTGTTGCTAGGGAGAAGATACACGCCCCACCTGGCTATACCCTCCTTTCAGGTAGTTGTAGAGAGCAGTAAGGTCTCTTCTCAGCCTCAGCTTTCATGTTCCCCAGCACAAGGAAGACACAGAACTACTGGAGAGATTCCAGTGGGGGGCAACAAAAATGATTAGAGGAGTGGAACATCTCTCTCCTGAGGAAAGGCTGAGATATATGTTCAGCCTAGAGAAGAGAAAAGAGAGGGGATCTTATCAGTGCTTATAAATATCTAAAGGCTGGGTGCCAAGAGTATGGGGCCCAACCCTTTTCAGTTTTGCCAGCAAGAGGACAAGGGGCAGTGGGCATAAAATGGAACGCTGGAAGTTCCATCTGAACATAAGGAAAAACTTCTTGACTTTGAAGGTAACAGCGTACTGCAACAGGCTGCCCAAAGAGGTTGTGGGGTCTCCTTCTCTGGAGATACTAAAAAACCCCTTGGTGGAATTCAGTGCAACATGCTTGTGGTGAACCTGCAGGGGATTTGGATTAGATGATCTTCACAATTCCCTTTCAATCCCCACCATACTGTGATTCTGTGAACTGTTCGATGTATTCTGAAGGCTTAGTGAAGAGATGCTCGAGTCCTAAGATTTGTTTTAAGTACAGGAGGAAGTGACCAGAATTCTGTGAGTTGGCCGTTGGATTGCAACTCAGACTATTATCAGTTTTGCCTCTGGGACATTGAGATGCTTATGTTGCCTCCACAGAAGGGAATATACCTGTAAGTGCTATAGCCATTCACTGACTGATGTGTTAGGTAGGACTAGTTTAGATGTGGTGCCACAAGAATACATCTGTACAGCTTTTGATCTGAGTGTGTTTTAATGCGACTATGCCTATATGAATTTGGAAGCGTGTGCGGGAAATATGGTGTCTCTGCACTGTGCCAAACACTGTAGGTGTTCTTTCCATGAGTTAATGATCTGAATAGGCCATAATATCAGTGAGTTTACCTGTCGAAGAATAAGAACTGATTTAGATTTTTCTGCACTGGTGAAATTAACACTGGTCATGAGAAAATTCAAACAGATGATAAGCACAGTTTTTGAGGAGCAGCGTTATAACTGAAAAAAATTCAAATAAGTCCAACAAGTAGAAGAGAGAAGGCTCTGGAGAGACCTTATAACAGCCTTCCAGAACCTGAAAGAGGCTACAGGAGAGCTGGAGAGGGAGTTTTGACAAGGGCTTTTAGTGATAGGATGAGAGGTACCAGTTTCAAACTGAAAACGAGTGGATTTAGATTAGATTTTAGGAACTTATTTCCTGTGAGAGTGGTGGGAAAGGGGCACAGGTTGCCCAGAGAAGTTGTAGCTGCCCTCTCCTTCGTAGTGTTCAAGACCAGGCTGGTTGGGACTTCGACCAACCTGGGGTGTGTCCCTGCCCATGCATGGGGGTTTGGAACTAGGTGATCTGAAGGTCCCTTCCAACCCAAACCTTTCTATGGTTCTATGATTAAAATGGTTTTTACTACTGTAATTCACATTTTTTCAGATGTAAGTGAAAAGTCAGACCTGATAGTTAATTTATGTACAGGTCTGAGACACTATGTGTGTTCTTTTCTTGAGCTTATTTAACATGGTCATATAACAGGAATCCTCTGAGAATGTCTAGCCCACCTAAGTAGGGTGCCATCCTCCAAATGGGGACAGTGAAAAAGATGAATGTGATTTTAATAAAGACAAGAGAGAATGCAAAACATGAAGTTGAAGGACTGCGTAAAGAAAGGAGATGTAAAGGCAGGACCTTTGGCTTTGCTACTTCTTCACGGAATCCTTGGATACATTTGCATGATGGGGCTTGCAAGCAGACAAAAGTTTATTCTACCTGCAATTTGGCAGAGGCTGTATATGAGTTTTCTCTTAATTAGAAGTTACATAGCAGTGCTAAGCCTGCAGAATATACACTTGGAGATTAATTAAATTGGTAATATTTCTTAAAATGTTTTGAACAGTTTAATGACCATCAACAGTATTTTAAGCTGTAATCACTATATTGTTCAGATCTCATTTTATGGTAAATAAGAAGCTTCTAGCCAAGTCACCAAAATAATTTGTTCCTCCCCAGTATAAGTGCACTTCATGTAACACAGATAATTTTGAGTTCCAAGCAGAGGTTGTGCTGTGTGCTAACTCACAGTAGAGTGTGAAGGGTGATATAATCATATTGAGACTAAATACGTTTTCTGCTTATGTTAAATTTTTATCAGTTTGAAAACTAGTTTAAAGTGTCATTTAAAAATGAATGCAAATCAAATTAAATGCTTCTCTAGTATAATGAGTTCTCCAATCTTGTAGGTCTTTGAATTTACATGACAAATTTATTAAGCTTTTCTAGTCCAGGTTTGGAACTGGTATACACAGTCCTATTAGATGTTGTAGGGAATGTAGAAAAGATTGTTATAACTAATCTTTTCTGTTGCTGCGTCAAGTGTATTATTGTATCTTTTAATAGACAAGCTTACATACATGTGGTTCCTGCTTTTTTCAGGCTGTTAAAAAGTGAAGTCCAGAAACCTAATTTACTTTCACATGATTCAACTATATAACCTGAATTAAATGTACATACTCTGTTAACGTGTAAAAAATTATATTTATATCTCAAAATCAAAATAAAGTTATATGAACTAATACCTGTGAATTTTTATTTGCCATTTCAGGTCAAAAGATGGAGAACAGAATTTCATTTTCCATTTCCAAAACTATTATGATGGATAGTTGAATGATTCTGTCATGTTGGCTATAAACAGTGGTTTTAAATTTTTGTATTAAAATCAATGAGAGATTTTACAATTCCCTGTATGTACTGTGTGTGTCTTTGTTTGTTTTTAATACATTTCAAGTTTTCAAGTATTTCTGAGGTAACGACATCCCACGTATTCCTTGTTAGATCTGACAGGATTCGTGTTCTCTTTCAGGAGACGCTGATAGATTGGTGTGATGAAAAGGAACTTAATTTGATTTTAACAACTGGAGGAACAGGGTTTGCACCACGAGATGTCACTCCAGAGGTGAGACAGTCCTGGAATAGGAAAAATCTGCATTTTGGTGTTACTGTATTAATCTGGGGTGGGAGGTGATTATTATTTATTTTTTTATTTTTTGTTTCCTCTGTAACTTTACATTGCAATAACTCTGGACAGGTCAAGTGATAAGCAACTTCAAAGCAGAAAAAACAATAGGGAATATAGCACAAGGGAATTACTCTGACCTTAGGTTCTGACCCAAAATTATTTTCCCATTAATGAATTTCCCGACCCCTTACAAAGCAAAATTCTAGCAGGTTTTGGACATAATTTTCTTCAGTACTGCAATACAACAGTGCTATGTAAAAATATATGTAGCTTTTGTTGTGTCCTCCACAAGGAAGAGTGGGATAAGAGAGATCCTTTAATTCTTCCATGCTAGCTACTGCATTGACAACTACTGCGTTGTAAGTTAGAGTGTGAGAGGCATATAATGGGGGAAAAATTCTATGCAAAGCTTACTGTTGCTTTGCTTGACACCACATTGTCCAAAAAAGTTCAACAAGAACAGAGGTGGAGGTGACCTACAGCAATAAATATTGTACAGGAAATCTGGTTACATTCCATTTATAAGGAGCCAAGGTAAGGGGAAAAAAAAAGTAAACTTAACCTAATAGCCTCATGGCCATGAGCTGTAGTATGAAATGACTGTGTGATTGCTCTTGAAGTATTTTATTATTTATAATTAGATTAATATTAACTTTCACAATCACCTACCTTTTTGGATTGCTTATGTTCACTAAAGGACAGTATTCAGACTGAGTGCCTGAAGTGTTTATTTCCATAATTCGCTGTATTTATATTTCTCTTAAGTCCTCACATGAGTTTTCAGTTGCTTAGGCTTCCAACTTAGAGTTGATTTGAGTTCATTTTAACATGCCCACGATGCTTTTTACTTGCAAATGTTTTCTGTCAACTATGGCTGCAGTTTAACTTTTTGCATTAGGAATCTAAAAAGAATTTTTTATTTGTTATATAACAGTGGTATAGCTAAAGAAACAGGTAAAGAAAATGCTCCCTCCTGCATGTTACTTCTGAGGTTTTAGATTATATACTAGAAACCTTACGTAACTAAAACCTACAGATCTGTGTATCAGAAAATGAGAACAGTATAAGATGACCACAGTGCACTAGTTGCAGGTAATTCACTTTGCTATAGCAACACAAACATAGAAGGTGTGTTTGTTGAATTGGTCTCTTACTTGCAAACTAACTTAATTGTTTTGAAGGTTGTATTCCCAGCACTATGTACAAGGAGAGCTAAATTTCTGCTTCAGTTTTCCTGATTTATTACCTTTATGCAGAGTCATGCTTGAGCAGTAGTGCCAGAGGGGGCATTTCAGCCAGTGCCAGAAACTAGCCACAGATTCTCAAACAGTATTTGGGACAAGAAACAAACAAATAAGAATTCTGTTCACAAACATCTAGTATTTTCCTTACATGGCTTCATTGCTGTGCCTCAAACTAACTATTTAAGGCAGGCGGTGATGATTTGTTTGATTGGTTTTGATGTTGCATTGAGCCATTTAAAAATTATCTGAGTTGTTGAAGTGTCCTTGGATTATATAAATAAAAAGACATTAATATAAAATTGTTAATAGCTTGTAATTATTAAAAACTGCATTTTTTAAAAAACGTAATAGGGATGCAAGACTTAAGTATTCTGACTGTCAGATTATTCCCACACTTTAAAAAGATTTATATAGAACAGTGTTTACTTTAAGTTGGAATAATTTACAAGACTAAACTTAAATCACAGTGGAGAGACTGAGTCTCAATTTTTGTTATGAAGTGGAAATTACAAGGTTTGTTCTTATGTTAGTATTTATTAGATCAGTCATTCAAACAGGTGCTTTTAAGGGAAGAAAATTAGTTTGCCAGTATGTGGAGTAACAAAAACATATGAAGACGTGTAAGCTTTGAGTCCATATTTTATGTCTTTTGGTTAAATGAGAGAGAACCAATTCAAAAGGGATAAATTATGTCACATGCAGTAGCAAGCCTTCAGAAAATCTTGCATTGATGTAGGAAGTGATTTTAATCTCTTCTGTGTTTGGCGTTCATCCAGCATGCTCTCTCCTCTCATTACTGAACTGATAATGCAATGATGTGATCATGGGATTGTGCTATTGAGATGTCGTCTTTATACTTTATTTTAAAACTGGTAATTACTGAATCTGATACTGGAAGATATTTTAGCATTTTTCCTGAGAGTATGGAGAGTCAGGCCATGGGATGATTCAGTCCTACTTCTTAATCCTCCTGAACTTTAAATTAGAAAACACATTTTTCTGCTTCCTTTTCTGAGCATAATTGCTATTGTACTGTGCAAGGTAAAGCTAGTTCCTGAGAGTATTTACAACCCAAAGAATCAATGCTAGTTGAATTTTGTAAGTATTGATTAAATTAAAATTAAGTGGCTAGCATCTATTAAAAATAACTTCTAGAAACTTCAGAAATTTAGTAAGGTTTTTTTTAACGTTACTCAGTTTCCCTACTCACGTTGCCTTTTGAACACTATATTGGAATCATACCAGGTTATTGCAGTTGTTTCAATTATGTGTAATGACACTTTTTCTCATAGTGGAGTAGATTATTTTAGGAATATTCACAATATCTGATTTTCCCTACCTATCTCTGGTGCCTAAATTTATAGCCTTGGTCTAGTCAGTGGGTGGGGAGGAACTTTTGAATTAGTTACTGTGATTAACATTTTGAGGGGTGAATGTCTGAATGAAGCAGTGGGACTGTCCTTTGCATCCTTGTCTATGTGACCAGAAGTGATAAAATGCATGTAAGTATTAAATAAAGCAAAATTCACCCAGCGGACAACTGAATTTGAAGGAGACTGCCGTGTGAAAGTTATTAGTGAATTCTTCATCTGTGGTTACAGTTAATCATAGTTTGCATTTGGACTAATGTGAAAGTTCAGGTTTAAATTTGTAGATACAACTACTTTTTGCAGTCTCATTTCACCTAAAATTTATTGGGATAGTGTTTAAATCAATCCTAGAAATGCTTGTACAGTCTGTTTGTTGATGTAAAAAGTGTTTGCTGCTGGACAGAGATCAGGCCTTAGAGATGGCCAAAACAAATTTATTCAGGGAACTTCTGTTTTATAATTCTGGAAGCATTTATTTTTTCCTTGGATCTGCAGTACTTGAGTGGTAGACAGCTACAGAGTATGCAATGTTAATGATAATATACCTTAATTGCTGTGAAGATATTTAAATAATGTAACAGCATTTTCCTCAATCACTAGTCATCCTTTGATATAGAAACATGTTTTCTCAATTGCTATTGGTCAATATAAGGGAGGAAGGAAAAATGTCATGTAAATAGCTGCTCTGAACAGTTTTTTGTCATCTGTCTTCTCTGGTTTTACACTTGCTCATTTGCAAAATTGTACATCCAAAAGATCCACTCATCTGCTTCTAACAGTCTTGTAGCTGTTTTCTTATTCTTTGTCTCAAGTGTGGCTTGCAAGTCTTCTTTGCCCCCCTCCAAGTCTAATTATATGTCCTTAGATAATAGCAATTGAAGTCAACTTAATGTGCCTTGACTGATGTTAGACATCCCTGAGCTGTTTATTCACAAGTAGTTCAGCCACACTGCAGATAATTGTCAGCCTGAAATTTTAAGATAAGACTTTAGAAGAAGCATAGAAGAGCTCTTTCCATCATGTAAAACCTGACAGGTGTTTCCTTACAGTACTACTTTTCCAATGCTCTGGGAAAATTATGAATCCTCCTTTTGTTTCTTGCTGATTATATTCTTCAGTACAGATAGACTGGCTTTAAATTTATGTAGACACATACTTGTTTTCATTTAACTTGAAAAAATATACTTATTTTTTTATTCCTTCATCAACATTCTCTGTCTGTGAAAAAAAAAATGTTGTTCTCTGTAAACCCCCTCCTGTTTGTCAGTATTTTTTGGGGGTAGGGGAGCGTTCTCAGAATGAACAAAATACTCCAAACTTAGCCACACAAAAGTCATGAGAAAAGAAAGTCTCTATTCTGCTGTAGTATAAAGTATTTGGATATTCAGTTTAAAATTGTATTACCATTACCAGTTGCAAATTTTCTATCACCTGGCTTTTCCCAATTCCTCAAGTATCTTTCACTATTGGTGTTTTGCAAGTTTCTTCTTAGAATTCAGTAGAAATTTTTCTTAAAATTCAATTTTATTTCTACAGATCATTTGTAGTTATTAGCCTGTATCCTTCATTTCCCTGTCCCAAGAAGTGTCAACAACCCTCCTAATCTATTTTTATATATTTCAGAAGTTCTGTGTGTTTGCTTCCCCTTCAACTTCATTAATTAAATAAGGTGCTTGTGACACAACAGGTTATTTCATGTTATAGTCCTGCTGTCACAGTAACTTGTTCCCTCTGAATTAACCTAAATCCAATGAGACACTTAAAATATCAACTTCCAGTTAATAGGTGATAACTAGAAAAAAAAATAATTTAAAACTAAAAATAATATGGTAAATTTTTTGTCCTCCCCAGTTCAAAAAATGCCTTTCCAGACAAGCAGGATTTTTAGTATCATTCATTGCAGATAAAGGAGTACTTCTGTTCATCTTCACTAGTATTCAACTCTTCTTAGTACTATACCAAAACCATCTTAGTGTTGTCACCTGGCCAAAATAAACTCATTTTCCTTTTACAAACCGTCACTTTGGGATGGCTCCACAGTGAGGAGGAATGAAGTCTTTGTCTCACTGGGGACATTTTTCATTTTGTGGTAGGAATACTATGAAATCATACAATCTCTAATTACCTGGGCTATTGTTTCAGGTTTTCACCCTTCAATATTCAAGGTATCTTCCAATATTCAATGTATCCTCCAATTTGATACCCTTTTTCAGCGTTTGTTTTTGTAGTCTGTCTTAAGACTCTTTGCCATCTCTTAGTGGAGGTCTTACTCCCTGTTATTTGATTTCTCTCTTGTAAAAGGCAGTGTGCTCTGTATGTATCA